GGGGGGGGGGGCAGGGCATGGGGTGGGGATTTGATTGTCTTCGTTGGCCCAGGGGTAGGGCATTTGACTAATCTTGTTCTCCCAGGGGAGGGGATATTTGAATCTTTCTTCGCCCGAAATGGGACCGACGTGGGGACGGATTTGACAGCCGACTTGGACGAAAGAGACTGAGACCGAACATATGTTTCCCCACTTCCACGCTTCACGCACGCGACGTACGGTCTGGAAAGATCTGGAAATCATGGAAGCCAACGAGAACAAGCCAAAGGTGAGTGGATTTTACTGTATTGATCAATTGAACCTTTTAAGATACTGTGGTATCAAAGTAAACGGAAGTAAAGAGAAACCAAGTCGACTTTTGCAAGTACAATTGATCAGTGTATGGCTGACATTCGCTACAATCACCGTATAAAGCTTATAAAACTGACTTTCTTTGTTCTAAGAACGGTTTATTCAAACTTACAAAATGTGGACTTTCTCCTCAAGGTTTCTCTATTCTATGCAGTGTATTAAAACAACTGAATGGTTAAAACGTATAATTTCAGCTTTAACAGGAACATGTATCTTTGGTGATGCAGTACCGTTTATAAGTAAAAATTGCAAGAAAAAATTGCAATTGTGAGTTTTATTTGGAGATATTTTTACTGTGCCTTTCTTGGGTCCATCCTTTGGATGGACAGGAATGTGCATGGAGGTGAGGTGCGGGAATTTGGTTGTAATTGACTCGAATGATTTGCCCTTGGGCAGGGAACTTGACGGCAATTTTTTTATATTCAGTATATACTAAAACAGTGGATAGTGTTTTTCGCGCGCACTGATTGGCTACTCAATCAGTAAATATCCTGCACTATTCACTGATTCACCTCCAGTTCCTCCGAACGAGCGACGCCAAACTCGCGTAAGTTGCGGGCAAAATGCCTTCACGGTTTGCTGCCGTAAACAAACAAAGAAATTTCACAACTAATCAAGCAAGCTGTTTCCGAAATACACGGAGAAGGTGACGAAGTTTGGATTGGAAGTTTTAACAGGTAAAGCTTTGTCTTTTTTACACGAATTTATCGATAAAACCGGTGAAAAAGTTTTTTGCAAATTAAGTTTAAGTCTTGCGTTACTTTGTTTAGTTGAGTTGTTCATAAATAAGCTTAAAACTAAATTTAATAACCTTTTTTTTTAAAAGAATCATTTTAAATACAAAAAGAATTCACAACTCCTTTTGAAGAAATTTCCCCGCAAGAGCTAAACAAATGCCTTCAAAAGTTTTAATTGTCGGCAAGAAAAAGCGACGGCCGCGGCCGCCCAGTCATTACGCGCCAAAATTGTAATCGTTGGCAACAGTATTTGAGTTAAAAATCATCATTTTTGTGCTCAATTATTTCACTGTTTTAGTATGTACTAAAACAATTATTCACTTCAGTGTCGGTGGCTAGTCGTGGATATTTACCTCACTGCTTCGCAGTTCGGCAAATATCCAAGACTAGCCACCTCCAATTCGGTGAATAATTGTTATATATACACCCGTTTTCAAAAAGGTTTTCATATAGAGAGATATATACATAGATATATACTTTTGTTTTCTTGCACGTGCGCCCGTGTGCATTTTTCACTTGTTATTGTCCAACTTGTGAAAAACTCGGTTCAACGATAAATTATTTTTTCGTCGGTTTTTTTTTCTAATTTGTAAAGAACCTGTCGTTTTGAGTTTTTTTTTGTTTTTTAGAAAAATGCATGCGCCCTGCGATACAAATTTGCAATGGCGAATTATATAGCTGAGTTTGGGAATGAGGAAAACATCCCGCGAAGCAGCCGATCCGCGAGTTATACGGCGTCACCGAACTGGTAGGCCAAATGCCATGGCATCTGTAGCAAGTGACGAATCATTTTTATTGATGGAGTGTATTAAAAAATGTGCTGTCGAGGAGCGTGCTTAAGAGAAACTGTAAACTAACTGAAAGCATTTGTGGCCGAGAGTTTATTCTGTCTTCAATGAGACGTTGCCTTACAGGCCGTGATTTTACACGAAAAAAGGTGAGACATTAAGATATGTGACCAGCTCATCATGTTATGATAAAGTCTGCTTCTATGAACCTCGTCAACGTCTTAGTCCGTTTTAATCAACTGCTATAATATTGTTGCTCCTTCCCACATATCCAATATGGACATCCACCGTCACATCTTCCTTCTCAGCGGTTTCGAAAACACATTTTTTTCATTTCGTCTGCGTTGTTTTAAAAATGAAAATCTTTGATGTTTTTCCTCTTATCCTGTAACGGCAACAATTATATGACCTACAAGTGACCGAATTCCTCATTCTTTAATTTTCAAGAGAATGCAAATCAAGAGAATGGCAGACAATGTTCGTGCATTATTTTTTTAATTGACAAATTGGAACAAAAAGAAAATTTATCGTTGAACCAAGTTTTTTCACAAGTTGGACAATAATAAGTGTAAATGCACACGGGCGCACGTGCAAGAAAACAAAAGTATATATCTATCTATATATCTCTGTATATGAAAACCTTTTTGAAAACGGGTGTGGAATACAAGAGGCGTTGGAAACTTCCTAAAAATTGGCGAAAGAAGGCGCCATTTTGAACTTCCATCTCAAAACCGTGAGTAGCAAAGGATATTCTGAGTTACGAGTGTCAATCAAAACGCGCAAAAACTGCTACCCTCTTATTTATTAGAAACTTGATATGTCAATTATTGCTGGTTATTAACATGTGAGACTTCTAAGTGGTAAGAAACATATTCATTAATTTTAAGGATTAATATCATATGTTTAAAAACGGGTTAGCTGTAATTACAGTATGTAGTATGTGCAATACTGGCCGTGCATTAATTTGTTCATACTAATAGAAAGATTTAGAATTTCTCAAAATAGAAAACATGCAGCTAAAAGCAGTTCAAAACAACTTTTTGGACAAAACTAACATTAAGCTACTAATTTTCATTTTGGGGTAGATAAAATGAACATTAAAGCGTGAGTTAAGGTGTAACAAAAGTCTCGATATAGTTTTTTAGAGGCCATACCGATATTTTTCAATTGCTTTAAAAGTGATTTTATACCTGTCTCGTCGCCATAAAATTTTCACCAATGATTGACTAGAGATTGAAATTTGTGAAAATGTAGGCATGTTTTAGTAAAATCGATGTTAATATGACAACAATAAACAAAAAACTTTGAAATTAATAAAAGGCGAATTTTGTGTGACTTAGACCAGCTACTGAAAATCCAACACTAGGAACTTAAAGTTTGGCGTTTAGCAAACAATCTCCGTACTAAGAAGTAAAAAAATTCTGTATGTTTGAATTCGACTAAAACGAAAATATATCTCAAACCTTAAATTTTCAATAGCTCTGATAGATTATTTAATAAAAAACGTTAAAAATGACTAAAATTATTCTTAAGTACCGTCAGAATGCTGCTTAATATCATGTTTCAAAGTTAGGAAATTTTGATGTGTTTTCGTCCTTGCGATCTTAAAAACTTACCCGTTTTCTAACCACCTGTCTAAGTACAACTTGATTCAAAATTTGGATTTTTAGTGCTTTTTGGTATATCTCTGAAACGACTCGACCGAATTTTTTTAAAATCTCTTTACATAATCTTCATAACGTATATAATAATGTCTGGAACTTTCATTAAGATTGCTTTACTGCAACACCTTGAAATTTCAAAACAAACCTGTCCTGCGAACCGGTCAAAAATCCGCACTACCGCATTCACTGTTTTGATGTTATGCTAATTTTTCCAAATTAATGCGGACAATACATATATTCATGACCAGAACATTTTAGTGTGAGTATTGTCAATGTTTTACATTCAAAAGATGCGATAAATTCAAGCTAAAATGTACTAGTCATGGAGGTATGTATAGTGCGCATTATTTTGGAAAAATACTAACGCCAAACTTTAAGTTCCTAGTGTTGGATTTTCAGTAGTTGGTCTAGATCGCTCAAAATTCGGTTTTATCAATTTCAAAGTTTTTTGTTTATTGTTGTCAAAATAATATCGATTTTACTGGAAAACTACATTTTCACAAATTTCAATCTATAATCAGTCATTGGTGAAAATTTTATAGCGATCAGACAAGGAAAAAAACACTTTTAAGGCGATTGAAAAATATCGGTATGGCCTCTGAAAAACTGTATCGAAAGACCTTAAGGGAAAAATTGGTCGCGTGGTACAAATTCACGTTTGTCATAAACGAAGTGACTGTAAGTTTCTCTATTCTCGTATTACCTCAACAGCATAGTGAATATAATCACTATCCCCCTTCAGAGCAGACTGTTCAGGGCTTTCATCAGTGGCATTGTTGAGTTCGCAAGATCTTTTCCCTCCTACTGCAGGACCCACGTTGATTGACACACAGTTTGGTTCAAGAAAACACTTCACTCTACATCCACCTTCATTGGCTACACTTTCAGTTCTTGTCACGTGACCACGAAGTCGTTTGTTTGCATTGGTCCTTTAAATATTATGACCCGGTTGTATTCTGTCGTGAGAACTACGAAAACAA